AAAGGGGGGAAATGGGGGACACCTGTAATACTCTCAACAGTAATAGAAAAAAGAATCTGGGAAACTAGCTGAAAAAGAGAGACAAAGAAGGGGGGATCGCAGGACAGATAAAAATACAGTTACAACGAGAAGGAAATGGAAAGCACATAAAGGAAATTCCTTAACCTATCCTCCCCCCACCAAAAAAAAGTGTTCACTGCTTGCCCTAGCCGGTTTTGATCAGTGGTTACAGCATCGGCCAGTGGACCGAAGGGTCTAGGGTTTGATTCCGGCCAAGGGCATGTACTTGGGTTGCAGGCTCGATCCCCGGCCCCTATTGGGGCGCATGTGGGAGGCGACCAGCTAATGTGTCTCTCACATTGATGTTTCTCTCTCTCTCTCTCTCCCTTTCACTTTCTCTGACAAGCAATGGAAAAAATATACTCAGGTGGATTAAAAAAAAAAGTATTCACATTTTGGTATTAATATTTTACATGGCTCTAACAAAACATTGTACACTCCAGGAATATTTTATAAGGGGGTAATATTTCATGAGAGCTGAGAAGACTATTAATTGCCTAATGAATACCCTTTCTTTCCCCGTTATAAAAAAAAAATCACTTGTATTAAACTTAGATGTTTCTCTAAGATAAAATAAACTGAAAGCATGCAAAAGGCAAACAGATTCTGAAGTCTGTCTACAGGTCAGGAGAATATCTGTTGCCGCTCATATAAGCTAATTTAACGTCAGAAATGATTTCATGTTTGCTCGACTTTTGCCTGAGAAGTTACGCTTTAAGGTAAATCTTCCAATAGCAGCAGCTTCTCCGAAGGCAGGTGACCTTGGTGTAGCCGGAACCGTGGCTACTGAGTGGCACCAAGGAAATGTAAAAAAAAAATTTAAAGAGTTATTGGGCATAATTAAATGTGTGCACGCTGATGAAACAGGTTTGTGTCGTGATTCAGGGAGTTTCTTACTAAGGACTCCGTTTTTCTTTTCTTTTTTAAAAAGGCATTTTAAAAATGTGTTTATTGATTTCAGAGAGAGAGGGAGGGAGAGGGAGGGAGAGAGAAACATGGATCGGCTGCCTCCTGCACGCCCCCAGCCAGGGATGGGGCCCGCAACCGGGGCATGTGTCTGCCCTCTTTTCAAAGGCTCCCATCTTAATTCTTGTCGCTCCTTACGCCGTAGTCGCCCTCTCAAAGGCTGGGGCCGGTCTCGATGACGTTTGCCGTCCCAATGACAGGCCGTGCAGACACGGAGCAGAGCTAACTGGATGTTCGTTGACTGGTGCAATGAAAATCAGTCCATTAGGAGGTGTGTCAATGTTTGTGTAGCCTCTTTGGACAACAGAGTCGCCCGGGCAGGTGTAAATTTGAAAGCCAGCTGCCTAAGCCCAACCCTTACCGCGAGGCAGCATTTTTATTCCTCCTGTGTCCGCTGGCCCTGGGCGACTACCTGAGAGCAACCAGTGGCGAGCCCGCAGGTACAGCAGGAGTCCTCCCGAAGCCCAAGAGCAGGGTTCTGTTTTTAGCATGAGCACCCCGGTTTTCCTGGCTTTATTTATAACTTAAGCCTGGTTGTCTTAATGCATGTTGAGTGCTCACTCCCTTGAGAGACCCACATTTTTCGGGTGAGCACAGTGATGGCTATTTTAATAGATATATTCCAAACGACTTCACCTCAGCCTCAAACTTCTTGCCCGTGCCGTTGAGCAGGTAGGGAGAAGATGGAATAAAACAGAATTGTGGGTTTTTTTTTTTTTTTTTCATTGCAGAATATAAATAAGGTCGTTGTGGCTCTTATTTACTACGTTTCAAAATATGTAAAATTGTAGACTTTAGGCTCAGGAACCGATTGCAAATAAAACACACGTTTAAGTGCATATAAAAATAAATCGAGGTTATCTAACATAACCTCCTCTCTACCCCAGAATAAAAGGCACTAAAAGCTTCAGGCTGTCATACATCAGGGACAAAAAATTAGATAGGAGCTGACATCTCCTCGAGAAACTATCTCCATGGAAACCACTTAAGCTTCAGCATCTAAAGTGATAATCTGAGACACTCCAACAAAACTGCTATTAATTCTAATTTAATTTAAATTGCAGCACTATTTTTTGCAGCAGGGTCTGGGCTAGATGATGTCTACAGGCCTTTGTTCTTTCCGGCTTCTTTGTTTCCTTTCACTTTATTTTCTTTCTTCAAATTTGAGTGGTATGGCAGAAAATTATTTTTTTTCCTAAGTAATGTGTTCTAAGCATTAGAAACAGATATGAAAACAAGTGGTTGTCGACTGAGATGCTGAAGGTAGAAGGAGCTGCTGTTTTATTCGAGAGAGGCCGCTGCTGGTCACGTTCGGCGGGGTGGGGACTGGTCAAGGCCAGACCGTGTTTATCCAGGGACCCACCCGTGGCCCATGGCCGAGTGAGCCTCAGTCTCGCGTCTATGCGTATACCGTTCACCTCGGTTTCTACAGAAAGCTGGCCAGCCAGAGCTCCTGTTTCAAATGGGGAAGAGATTATGTAGTTTTGGCTTCTGACAAGTGAAACAAAACCGTACATCTCCAGCCTGCGTGAGTGTCCAAGATCCGGTGACCCAAAGAGATTCCTTAGGCGAAAAGAAACAGAATAAAGGAAGCTCTCCTCTGCCATATGTCCTGGTTGTTTAAATAATGTCAATTTTTATACAAAAGGACTGCATGAGCAATTGATTTTGTTCGATTCCCTCCTTTCAGTGTTTTTGTTTGTTTTTAAATATATCTTTATTGATTTCAGAGAGAGGAAGGGAGAGGGAGAGAGAGAGAGAAACATCAATGATGAGAGAACTGTCCTGGATCGGCTGCCTCCTGCACACCCCCAGCTGGGGATCGAGCCTGCAACCCGGGCCTGTGCCCTGACGGGAATCGAACCCTGATCTCCTGGTTCAGGGGTTGATACTCAGCCACTGAGTCACACTGGCCGGGCTCCAGTGTTTTTTTTAAGCCAATTTCTGAATTGTCTCAATTGCCTTTCAGGAAAAAGATTGACTGATGCTCCCAGGCTAGGCTGACATTACATTCTTTTGTCTGAGTAAGAATAAATAGGTATTTTAATGGAAAAATACTGTGATGTCTCCACGTAGATGCAGTCAAAGGCATATATGAGAACAGACATATTTTAAAAAATGCTGGGTGGTTGATTTTTTCTGAAGTGCATTGATTTGCTTTTTGGAAGAATTCTTGTCTCCTCGTGGCTCGTTCCTGCACCGGTGGGCGGGGTTGGGCCCTGACCTATGAGGCAGCTCAGGGTGGAATACCTGAGGCCGTTTAGGGATTAATATCAAATATCCCAAAGCGCCAGAGCCACCGTCTGCCACCTGATGAAATGCTGGGGCACAGTTGTGGGCGCTGACAAAGCCTGATGCCCGTGACTGTGACCCAGGGTCCCTGCTGACACGGGCTATGGTTTCCTTCCCAGCAAAGCGGCGGCAGCCAGAGCTGGCTCTCTGCTGGGCCATGGGAACAGCCTCATTTTCTAAACAGAGGGGTGGTTGAGAAAATCACCACGGTAAGAAGCTAAAGCCACCAAACATAGTGAACAAGTCCCAAAGGGCATTTTTTAAAAATATGTTTTTATTGACTTAAGAGAGAGAGGGGAATGGAGATGGAGAGCGAGATGTGCTCTGACCAGGAATTGAACTGGGATCTCCTGGATCCTAGGTTGATGCTCAACCACTGAGCTACGCCTGGCCGGGCCCAGAGCACATCTTCTAAAGACATTCCCTGACGTCTTCTCCGAGACAGTGGTCAAGAGTTGGCACTGCTCGTGAGCTGACCGTCTTCGGGAGGCCCTGGAGCTGTTGCCTTCAGGCTCCTGTTGAGGACACCTCCACTGGGCACAGGGCAAGAGTTCGTGAAGGCTTTGGATGTGCAGAACTTCTAGCTTGGGAGCCTAATTGAAATAACTTTTTGATCACCTAAATTAGAGTCAAAAGACGAGTTTCGTCATTTGTGAGAATACGGAGGCGCCTTTAATCATCTGAGGAACCAGGCAGGAGGGAGGGTCTCCCCTCACTTCCCACCGGTGAATTTCTAGTCAGTTAAGGGCCGAAGTTTGCCTGTTTTGGAAACAACTGAAGATTACTGATCTGCTGCTGACATCATCGTGTGTGTCTTTCGAGGTAAGTCCAGTGGGTAATAATAAAGAGCATCCGGAAAAACACTTCA